ATATCAACTATACGAATGTAGTGCCATCCCAATTAACATAACCTCTTAATATTAGCATTTTTACATAAAGTAATTTTGATAGAAACAATAATAAAATTACAATAGATGTTACACTATATACCTTAAACCTATCACATCAACAGAGCGTCACTATATGGAATACTTAAAGAAACATCCATTTACATTGATACCAGTACAACATGCAATGTCTTCAATATTATTAATAGAATACTTTTCATTTAGATGTAACTTGCGAGACGTCGGATTCGAGTTATACCTTCTTATTTGTATGTAACACTATTATTGATTTAAATAGATTTGTCTTAGCTATTAAACTAGGAATAATAGGCTTGTCTTAGCTATTAAACTAGGAATAATAGGCTCAAAACTATACTGTTCGAGCCCCGTAGCTCCCGTGGTGGTTGAGGCCCGTGAAATTTTACCAGTCTCGCCCCACTGTAGTTACGCCACTGCCAGCAAAAATATTCACAAACAATAATAGATTTACATAGTTCCTTGAGTTTTTATTAAAATTAAAGAGTTGCTAGATATATACCTACTAAATGAATGAATTATGTAATAATAAAGATTATATAATAGCAAAACGGCTGAGAATAGGTAAAAATAAATAGTTTTTTTTGCGTGCTAGCCGGAAAGATATATTTACATTTAAAAATATATATTATTAAACCAATTAAAATTCTTTTAAATTGCAAATTGTGAAGGTCAGTTCGGGTCCCATTTCATACAACTAAGACATAATATTTGAATTATTCTTTTATATTTATAATATTTAAAATATAAAACAAAAAACTTCAAGTAGTGGATTACTTTTTAAATGTCAAGCATAGTTACATCTAAAAGACGTTCTGTGTAAATAACAGATTCGATGTGAAGTATCATAATTACCTACGGTATACATATTATTTCGAAACAGAAATCCTCTCAAAATATATATTAAGACATAATATTAGTATCATAAAGTTATCTTTAAAGATTTAACAAACGTATCGTGTGACAGTTTACAATATTCTGGACCAAATATTGGACCCGTGATGACGAAGAAATTAAAAGAGACAATCAATTAAGAAAGAAGATGATAAAGTGAATGACGTTGAAATTAAGCCGCAATCATAACATACCCACGTCGCGTGTGGCTACGCGTAGTTAGCGATTCAGTTTTATAAGCGCCACGATTAGAGATGCCATCTGTCCGGCTGTAGCCGTAGATGTTCGGCTTTCTAAGTTGTGTCCGGCTAAATATTTACATGTCCGGCCTGTACGGTTTTGACTGTTAGAAGGTCTCCCAATACAACGCAGCACAGTCAGATTTTTTTATTTCAGAAGATGGAAACTCTAGTCACGACATGTTTGACGTGGGGGCTAATGTAATCAGTCCAAAGTCAATGTAAATATATAAAATAGATTCCCTAGTCACGCGTGGCGACACCCGAGTTGAGCTAGATATACTTGCGCATATGTCACAAATCGATAAACGATTACTCCTCTGAAATATTACTTTAGAACACTCTTTCTCAGTCTCTTAGGATAAATTCCAATATTTTTCCAAAGTTTATATGCAGCTACCGGAAATCATTGATAATGATCAGATAAGTACAAGTACGATAATTATCTATCTTACTATAAATTTGACATCCTAACCAACAGTTTGATTATATTTTGATAAAATTTTGGAAACTGCCTAAAGTTCTATTTTATGTTCTACGAATTTGGGATCTGTAATAGATGTTTTTATAATTGAAATAAATATTAAATTCTTACATTATGATATTTGCAGATATGTTTATAATTGTTCCGTGGTCAATAGCTTCAATTCTTTAACTTTATTAAAAGCTACTTGCGCGTAAGAGGCTTATTACATGTACACTAATGCCTGTGTTAAAATAAAAAAAATCATGTAGTGATTTTTTTTTTATTAACATAAGGCCTTGAAATAGTTAGTTTAAGTAACCACCAACTAAACACTTGAAATTAAATTGATACGCCAGAACTGAAGAATTTAGATTTGAAAATCTGAAGCAATTCATCGAGTTACTCATATGCTGTAAGTTAAATTTTTCTGATTCCTAAAACTTGTCCATCCTACAATATAGCTGGTCAAAAATAATAAATAAGTTAGAAATATAACTTATAATTTTGACTATGAAAATAAGTAGGTATAATTTTAAAATTTAATTTAGAAAATTGTCTTTTCAAAAGCCTCTTAGAACAACGTTGATTGTATTTTACATATGCAATTTCTTTGATAATCTTCTGTAAGTACATTCCATGTAACCTCATCGTACGTAGACCTAAAAGAATATTAATTCTTAACAATATTAAAATTCTGCTAGACATTATTTGAACCGACCAACGCAGTTTTATACAGTGTTTTCTCAAAATATCGAATGGCAACATTCATTAATAAATAAATATGGTCTGTTAGTTATAATTACTGTTATCTACCGTATAATTTACAGAGAAAGTTTAAATGATAGCTCCAAAAATGTAACTATTTAGCAGTGGCATAACTATACCATTTAAGGTGTCCGTCTGTGGCAATCGCTTCAGATAGGATCCTCTCTGAAAATAACGAAGGCTAACCAAATTTTATTATATATTATATTTTACATTTATGATTGAAATCAAGTCAGTGGCTTAATTATATAGGTACACATGAAACAAGCTAATTTTACTAAATAGGGGTTATAGTTACGCCAATCTGACCGGTATAGGTCAGAGTGGCGTATAGGGGGCCAATGTGTGTCGGGCCCATCCAAAAAATGCCCTTATAATACATAAAATAATTATTAAAAAGATTCATGGCTGGTGCCAGGGCCCGCCCCCCTAGAAAAATCCCTAGCTACGCCAATACTGACGGAGGGTTATAGTTACGCCACTGCTATTAAAGTACAAGACACAAGCCGTACTGTCCGTCTTATTATAAATCGAAGGCTTAAGTTAGTAATTGGTTTAAATCATTGACCGCCTAAAGCAAATTGACAATGATAGAAAAGAAAACGTCAAATTGTGACGTGCAAATTTGTTGGTCGGATAATAATTTAAACCGGATATTTAAGTTAGTCCTCTTTTATAATAGACGGTAGGTATATTTTTTTCACCAAGCAAAGAGTTTTGGAACTACTAAATTTTTACTTATAATTGTTTCCTTTCTAATTTCTAAAGAGTTCGGTTTAAAAATTTAAAACTGTTTTATTAATGTGCCGATATATTTTATATAGAAAAGTCCTGTTAAATAAGCTCTTGTTATGTTGTACAAATATATATATTTAAAATAAATTTTTAATTATCTAAATTAAATTTATAAAAAAATGTATTATGATAATTTTAAGTAAAAATACAGACTACGGTAATAATATAATAAAAACTTCAAGATTAAAAAATATTTTATGACTAAATTCATTTTGAGTTATATTTAAATAAAATTGTAAAAATACTTTTTTCTTCGCCGGACGGTCAACGTATTTTTTTATAGAATTTATAGAGGTTATTTAGAATTTCACTTATTATTATTTTCAACTTCTGTTTAATGGAATACTTTTATTTTTATTTTTTTATTAATATAGTCCATAGACTTTCGATACAAATTTTCGAATACGTAATTCCAATATTTAAACGAAATATACAATGGGATTTAATTTTGTAAATATCTCAAAAATATATTAAAATAATGTCACAAAAATTCAATTTAAACTTTGATACCTTAATATTATGTGCGAGATGATTTTGAAAAATATCTATATAGAAAATATTTGAGATGTGCAACTATATAGGGTATGTAATTTATAATTTAAGTATGGAGTAAGGACAAGGTACTAATAAAAATGATATGTTACTGCAAATGTACTCGAATATATACAACAAACAGTATGGTATAATGTAAAATGTTGTGATATATACCTCTATAGAAACAGAGCAAGATTAAACTTCTTGTGCCAGTCATACAGTTTTACTTTTTTTTTAATAATTTTTACCACTTCGATCCTGTCGAGTTTAGGCACAACTTTCGGAAATGTTGCCGTATTATTATTGTAATAAATATTTTAGGAAATGCTTGCTAGTTTCACTATTGCAATTGTCAGATTTTTCTAGTACGTGCAAAGCTATAGCTAATAAGATTTCTTAAAAGATAAAATATATGTAACTGAATCTTTAGTAAATTAACATTCTTTTATATTTTCTTTCCACATATATTCCTAATATAGAGATATTATCACAAACATGCGATTTTATGATTTATGTACATCGCGAAAATTACATTAAAACAATTAATAAATAACGGAACAGGAATAATCTTAAAATAAATTACGATAATGTAGATAAGTCACGATATCACGTGACAATCACGTGTACCCACATCCATACAACAGATACAACCACTCATACAGTTACAGTGCGGCGGCTCATACATCAGGCGATTTAAAGAAAAGTAATATGTAAATATAGCTTAAGTTACAACAGCTGATTTAAATTAAAAAGTATACCTAATTTTACACTACTTCAATATTTACAAATAAAACAAATTCATAATAGAAAAACTCAAATTCCATTTGATTTTTGTTGTGTTGTAAGAAAGTTTTAACCGAAGCTTATAGACAACAGTATGTAATAATGTAATAATATACAGCTTTACAAAATAATGCTGTCTTACATTTATTGTAGTTTAAAGTATAACCTCCATTTTGTAATCACAGTTTACAATTGTGGCTCGCACATATTCATAATTTTAAAGCTAAACCATTGATACACCATAATTATATTAACATAATTCTGAGTCAGGATATTTTTTTTAGTTTTTATACTTAGCTATATTTTACTATGAAAGCTGTTTCTTTAATTTACATATCCATATTCATATTGGTAACTTTCTTAAAATGTGGTACACGAAATTATAAATGGCCGCCGCACTGCCGCGCCCTCATTAATTTTAGAAGTACAACATGAACGATTAATTTTATAACTACTGGTCGGTTCTTAGTTTATGTGTCGCTCGCTGCTGACGGTTGTTTGATAAGATCAAAGTCTCTGCCGACGCTCGCTTGTGTCTTGAGCTTTGGTTTGTCGTGGCCGTGTTTGTCGTGGCCGTGCTTCTCGTGGCCGTGCTTCTCGTGGCCGTGTTTCTCGTGACCGTGCTTCTCGCCGTGGTTGCTCTCGACAACGACGCTAACGCCGACGTGTACAGCTTTGTGAGCAGGCGCTTCAACCTCCTCTTCTTCTTCCTCACGAAATTTACGGTTGTACCAATGAAGACATATGCACCTGAAATTCACGAAAATTCATTGCTTTAGCTTTACAAAATATTTAGTTTTATTTAATTCTGCCTGCATACTTTAATTGAAATAAGTTCCAAAAAGTTATCTGTAACATAGTGTAGTTCAAGGAGAATAAGAAGTCAATAGTAGACAAGGAAAACCTAGGATAAATATATAATAAAACAAGTAAAAGAAAAGGGTGAATATTTCTTTTTGTGCAAATCGGCCGTTTCGAAGAACGCAAGATAAATGTGCCGTAAATCGTTTTTTCATGGTTTATTGAAAAGCTGGTGAATTTTCTGTTATAAAAATGTTGAAGGAACAGCAATAGGATGTTTAGTTTATGAGATATTGGATCTTAAAGATTTTCAATAAATTGTAAAGAGATTACACGATAACGGTAATTAGAAATAAATAATATATTAGAAAATTAAGCTTTAATTTATCTGTATGTCTTTTTTATCAATACAGTTATTATTCATAGCATCCAGAACTCTTTAAGCCATTTCATCAAAGTGAGTAAATGTAATTTTGTTGTTATCCTTTTAATGTAAACTGTTAATATACTATCAGTATAAAATAGCCGACCCATCACGTTTCTGAGTCAAGTGTACAAGCTGTAGCAAGTGTTCGAGAGTCATCACGAATCGTCTCGCACGTAGATTTGACGTCTTCCAGCCTCCCGAGCAAACCGGTTTCCGAAAAGGTTACAATACCATAGGCCACATTCATACGCTGCGACAGGTTATACAGAAGACCGAGGAGTATAATCTGCCACTGTGCTTGGCGTTTGTGGACTATGAAAAAGCCTTTGACTCCGTCGAGACCTGGGCCGTGCTTAGGTCACTCCAGAGGTGCCAAATAGACTATCGATACATCCAAGTATTACAGTCACTGTATGAAAACGTCACCATGTCAGTTCGGCTCCAGGACCAAAACTCGAAAGCAATACGACTTCAGCGTGGAGTGAGACAGGGCGACGTTATATCGCCAAAACTGCTCAAGCTTTTGCACTGGAAAGGACTTGGCATCAATATAAACGGCGAAGGTATACATAACGCACCTTTGTTTCGCTGATAATATCGTAGTCACGGCTGGGACCATGGAAGATCTAGGCTCAATGCTCGAAGATCCCAACAAGTGGGTCGTAAAATGAACATGGAGAAGACGAAAACAATGTTAAACTCCCATGTCGTACCCACTCCAGTGAATGTTGGAGGCTCTACACTGGAAGCTGTCGACGAGTATGTTTACCTGGGACAAATAGTCCGATTAGGTAAGTCCAACTTCCAGAGAGGTAAATCGACGGATCCAACTCGGCTGGGCAGCGTTCGGGAAGCTACGCAGTGTATTCTTGGAACATCTACCGCAGTGTTTCAAGACGAAAGTCTTCAATTCGTGCGTGTTGCCTGTGATGACATACGGAACTGAGACGTGGCCGCTAACGATGGGCCTCATGAGGAAGCTCAAGGTCGCTCAGAGGGCAATGGAAAGGGCTATGCTCGGGGTTTCTTTGCGAGATCGTATCCGAAATGATGAGTTCCGCAGAAGAACGAAAGTCACCGACATAGCCCAAAGAATTGCGAACCTCAAGTGGCAGTGGGCAGGGCACATTGCTCGCAGGACTGACGGCCGTTGGGGCGGTAAGGTCTTTAAGGAGACGTAGTATTGGTAGGCCCCCCACAAGGTGGACCGACGATGTGGTGAAGGTCGCGGGAAGCCGCTGAATGCGAGAGTGCCCAGCAGTGGGCGTCTCTCTGTTGATATGACGATGATGATGATGATAAAATAGCCTTTTTAAATTCTTATTTTTGTTTAATAACTTAAATTATGTATAATTTTTAATTTACCTATTCATAATGTGCAATTATTAAAAATAGAAACTAAATCTAGTTCATATCTTTTAACAAAACATAAAGGTAACTTTGTTCGTAACTTGAATCTTAAGGATTATGTATCTGAGATGAAATCAAAATTATTAACACTATTGAAATCGTAGTCCATATTGCTGTATTCCATGCAGCAGCAGGGTTCATTTCCATATTTCGGCGGAATGACCAAGAATATATTTTTTATGAAACGTTTTCTCTGACTTCATAAAACTATAAAATACATTTTAGTCTAAAGCTTACGATATTGTAGAACAAAAAAAATTATCCATACATGCTCTTTCATTTCTCTTGAGACTCCCATATAATTCCTTCAGATTTACTCCCATTCTTCGTTCAAATATTTTTAGCATACTTTAGCGGTAAAGCCGCGTAAACTAATTGGAGCTATAGTTGGCGCAGTCCATACGTGAGTATTTTTTTGTACAAGAGAACAAAATTTTCTTCTCTAATTTTTCACAAATCTTCTCTAATTTTTACACTAACGCGGAACATCGAGACTTCTATACCTCTCATCAAAAGAGTTTGGTATTCAAGTCGAGAGCTCGACGTCGATTTCTTCTTATCTTTTTAAGTTATTCTTTTATACTTCTTTTTTACTGAAGCTTTGGCTTCCTTCTTATATTGGAAATCAATTTCTACTATCAATCTTATATAAAATAGAGACATCATCCAACCATGCTTTCTTCTTTTACTATGCCTACTACTAGGTATAGTACTACTAGTGTTAGAAACTAGCTGGCAGTTGGCATAGTGTACATATTTAAGAAGTTTTTATGACATGTTCCTTTTATATAGTTTTTTGACTTTTAGTATATTCTTTGATTTTGTCATCAGTAGCTTAAAATTATTGTTCTGTAACCGACTTATAAACTTGTAAACTTATGTAGTAATATTATATTATTTAATTCATTTTATTTAGCATTTCATTATACAGTCCTCGCTCTAGTAGTTATCATTTTGGTCCTTCGTTAGTTAAAATTATTTAGCCAGCATAATTCATATCATTTCATCCTATTTTTTCGTAGTTAATATTCATACTTCATATTTGTTAATTTGTTCATTTCACGTCAATCATGCAGACACGTAGTAAAAGTAAGTCGGTTGCAGATATTTCAGCGTTCGGAGTCGATCGGATGCAGCACAATAATGGCTCCACGCATCCACGAACTGACGATGTCAATTCGCAACCAACTCCTAGCGCTGATAATATCGATGTTGCAATACAACCATCGAGCACGAGCCTGCAAGCAGGTCTCACACAGCGCCCCGAATCTTTTGATGGTTGTGTCGCAAAATCAAAAGATTATTCTGTTTGCAGTAGTTTTAAGGGTGAACGTTCACAGTCATCCCACTCATCAGCTACCGTGCGCGCGAAGAAACTAGCAGCGGAAGCGGAGCATCTTCGTCGTCGCGTACAACTGGCTACGGAGCAGGCGGAGCGTGAGCGTGAGCTCACCCGTCTACAACTCGAAGCTGAGCAAGCAGGACTGCAGGCTCAACTCGCTTCTCTGGATGCTAAAGATAAGTCATCTTATTCTCGAGGTTCTTCTCGAACCTCCCATACATCAGCTAGACGTACACAGTCTTGGGTCAGATCACACCATGACACATTCTTCGCAGGCGCAAACTTACCATCCGGTGTGGCACATTTAGCCCCGGACTGGCAATCGGAAGCCAACACTCATCATACTGTTCAACAGTCGATGCTTCCAACGGTTTCGATGCCGAAACCACCATTGGAAAAGATCATCGAAGTGTCGCCACCGCTGACCGTCACCCAGCACAAGCCGCTGGGCACCCTACCACGGCCGGCTTTCTCAGCGATGCCCATTCCGACAGTAAACGAGAACTTCTCTATGCCGATCCAACCCACAACGGATGCCGTACTACCACTGAATAACAATAACGTCGACTCAGTGTCACAGCTCACAAAAGCCATCATGGATGCTTCCGTACGGCCCAAGAGGCCCGAGCTAGTTGTATTCTCAGGTGATATCAGTCAATGGATGACCTTTAAGTCTAGTTATGATAAAACGAAAAACTTTTTTTCCCCAGCTGAGAATTTGGTACGTTTGGGCAACGCTATTCGCGGCCCAGCATATCAAGCGGTGGCGTCGCTCTTATGGGACTCAAGCGATCCAGATGACGTCATTCGTACATTGGAACAGAGCTTCGCTCGGCCGGAGATTTTGGTGGCACGAGAGATCGGAGCACTCCGAATTATAAAGATAAGTAGCGCAGAGCATTTAAATATGTTAGCTAATAAATTACGCAACTTAGTGTCAACCATTAAGTATCTGAAACAATACGAACATCTTTACTCGCCAGAACTCTTTCGTATCATTTTACTTAAATTAAGTGAACATACCCGTAGTCGATTTGCCGACTACGCGGCTACGCAGACACTTCACGAGACACCACGATTGTTGATGTTATCAAATTTTTTATTAGAGGAAGCGGACCGACAATTAAAATATAATTTTGTACCCGAGTCAGTAATCGCTAACCCTTCAAATAAGTTAAGTTATCCTAGACCGATAATAAAGGAAACCGTACACGCCACGGTTTCAAAGAGTGATGACATACAGTGTATCTATTGTAAGCAAGGTTCACACTCCATCGTAAAGTGCAAAGCATTTCAACTTCTTACCATTGACAATCGTTGGCAGTGGATTCGGCAATTTAAAATTTGCTATAGATGCCTAAAGTCAAATCCACATCGATGGAATTTCTGTCGAGCAAAACCTTGTGGTAACAGTGGCTGCACGCGGCGTCATCACTCTCTTCTCCATGGCGTAGGAGAAACTCCTTCGCAACTTGACAGAAATACTCAAGAAGGTTCTATATCAAGACAAAAAGTGGCCATAACGAATTTAGATTCCTCACATGTCACCACAGATCAGCCTAATGTGCAAGTGGCAAATGTTTCAGATATTCCCTTCAATACTACAGAACTGCTACGACCGAGAGCTCTTTCACGAGGTATCCTGAAAGTGCTACCTGTGGTGATAGAGGGACCCAAAGGTCAATTGACTACGACTGCCCTCCTTGACGAAGGTAGTACTGCCACACTTATTGATGGTGACGTGGCCGCGCATATTGGAGCTAGCACGTC